TAATCCGCTTCCCCCCCCTTCTTTTATTTCCTTATTTCCTTCCTTTCTCAATTCTCCTCTATCTGGTTTCTTCCCTCCCTTTCTACAACCTTCCTAACGTATCAGGATGATTGAAATTTTAGTTAGGAGAAGGTATTAAGCAGTGTAGACACGAGCTACAACACCTGACTATGGAGTCCCCCCATACCTTTTGTGAATATGTCCATAGTGATGAGGACCCTTTCTACATTGTTGTGTGAGTAACCAAGAACTGCCTTAGCTTTATCATGCCTCCTGATGTCAGGATGTTGTTGTTTTTTTTTTTGTCCTTCTTGAATTTTGCTACTGAATGTTATGAAACTTGTTTAAGAAAATGCTAATAAAAACTGATTCAACACTAAATCTACAAATATCGGACAGACAATGGGAGACAGCTATTAAAGCCAATTTATCTCACTCCAGGTGTATTGATCATTGGGACAATGCCCAAAAGATAAATGACCAGATGGTATATCACCCCCATTTAGATTATCTAAAATATTCCCGACCACATCCCCCTTGTGCTGGCGGGAGTGTGGACATGTAGGTAATTTATATTATATATTTTGGTCCTGTAGTGGAATAAAGGTCTTTTGGCGCTCTATTTCAGACATTATTCACGAATGTACTGGAATAGAATCCTTGCTCCCACCTGAAATGGCGCTATTAAGTATCTCTATTGACAAATACCCTCCTAAGTATAGATCAGTGATCCTGCATATACTATTCTCAGCTAGGACTCTTATAGCTCGCAACTGGAAATCCCCCGTCATTCCAACCATTACAGACGTCATTCATAGAGTGTCCTCAAACTGTCACGATGAACGGATAATAGCCTATAGAACGAACTCGGAGAACCTTTTCCATAAGCGATGGGATTCCTGGATCAGGTTTTCTAAACAAACTACTTAAAATAATAGAGTAGCTTGACATTACTAGGTTTCACGTTGTGCCAATACTTTATGGTTTGCGTACCCATAGCTCCTCCTCTCTGTCATTCTTATCCCATGCCCTCCCTTATATGTAAGGTCAATTCCTTCTGTCATCCCTTCACCCATTCTTTCCTACCCCTTCCCTTATAGATACCCTCTAGTATAGTATGTTCCTTCTCAGAGTTATTCTTATGTTGGAAATGTTGATTGACATGGATACTTTCACTGTGGGATTCACATAGGGAGGTTTAATTACCGCTACATTCCGATGTGACCATTTTGACATTCTCGATCCCAAGGTGGAAAAATTCTAAGGTTTAGTAGATGATGTTGTATAAGTCCTATATGTGCTAATATACCAAACCTGTATCTAATTTTTGAATGTAGTCAACATTGTTGTATAGCAGATATTTTATAATTTAATAAAAATCTAAAGTTTAAAAAAAAATGCAATGCAAATGGCACTCACCAAGTGTATGGCTGGGCAAAAGATTTATAAAATCGGCCCCCATGTTTATTGCACCCAGAGGAGCAGGGTGATTTCAGATAACGTCTCTTTGCAGATGGGATATTTAAGTTAATAGAAAATGTTTAATACTGATCAGGCAGCACAGTATGTGTTAATAAAGCAGAGATCTGTGATAAGCTTCTGGTAGAGAGGTACCTGCGGATGTAGTCCATGAGGTAGCCCAGCCACCCCTGAGAGCTGTAGTCTCCATAGGTGCCTATTTTAGAGACAGCAGTTTGATGAATGGTGGAATGAAGCTTTGCCAGATCCTCCTTTCCTGGAATAGGCAGAGACAGGTCCTGAAAGGTTTCGATGGTGGTGGACACCTGAACAAAACACACAGAAAGTTTAAAGTAATTCAGTATGTATGTGATATAATTCACTTCTCTCAGTTCCAACTAATGCTGCCTTACTCCTCTTCATTTTGCTGCTGTACTAGTAGACGCAAGTAAAGGAAGACCAGTCGAACCGAAGGGCTGCTGTACGGGCTATTCACAATAGCCCGTACAGCAGCCGAAGGCGGCCGAGTGGCTCAGCCGAGCCGAAGGCATATGCTTCGGCTCGACTGTGCCAAAGTGGGCCATTCACCCCGCAAATGACAGCTGGGTGGAGCCAGCCGTGATCTCATGGCTGGCTCCACCCAGTTGTAATGACAGATCATCGTCTCCAAATGACCTGGGGTCGCTGATCTGTCATTAAGCAATAACAACTGGGTGGAGCCGGCCGTGACGTCATGGCCGGCTCCGCACAGTTGTTTAATCATTGGCCGGGACCTGCTAGAAGACTCTAGCAGGTGCCAGCCAATAGAAAATAGCTGGGTGGAGCTAGCTGTCACTGTTAGCTCCGCACAATTGTTTTTGTTTTATTTTGAAATAGTTTTAAAGGATATTAGACAGTTGTTTAATCATTGGCCGGGACCTGCTAGAAGACTCTAGCAGGTGCCAGCCAATAGAAAATAGCTGGGTGGAGCTAGCTGTCACTGTTAGCTCCGCACAATTGTTTTTGTTTTATTTTGAAATAGTTTTCTTTTTTTTGTAATCTACCTATTTTTTACCATTTAAAAAAAAAAAATATTATTTGCACTTCTTTACTACTCTGCTCGCACTGAGCAGAATCGCAAGTGAGCTGCAGGGGCTTAGGCTCAGCCGATCCAGATGTTGGATCGGCTGAGTCGAAGTCCTTCAGCACTTTAGCTCAGAGCATGTTCGGCTGACCAAAGACAGTCGAAGGCAGCCGATGTAAGGCTGAAATCAGCCGTACTGAGCCGGAGTGGAAAGCCGAACCTCGTTCGGCTCTGTTCACTTCGGCTCGGTTATTCACTCGGCTACCTTCAGCAGCTTAGTGAATAACGCAGTAGGTGATCAGATTATCTAACATGGCTATCGTACATGTGTGTTGTCCTATTGACTTAAGCTGGCCATACACCGAGCAATGAAATTCAGATGAAATTCAAAAGTGGGTGGCCCTGTCTCCTGTCTAACATCCTTTAATTAAAATATAGAAAGAGCAAATCGAAATTTTTTTGCCAAACAGTGCCTGCATCCGCAATCAGATGCAGGCTCTGTTCAGGTATTTTGACAGCTGGTGGGGCCGTGTGTCAAAATACAATAGCCGCAGCAAGAGATTCCTTCATCCGTGCCATTTAGCGTGCATTGGGGCATTTGCTAGATACTTTCCGTCCAGCCCAAAAGTTAAATAAAAAAAATCTACAAGTGTATAGCTTTAGAATGCAGTTTTCCTAACTAAAGAATGTATAAAAAATGTTGCTACATTATGAAGTGATAAGACTTGCCATGCCTTATGTGCCAGATGGGTAACTAGCATTTGCTGAATGCTGGAAGAGTGCTCTCTACTCCAAAGTGGTTTCAGTTTCACCTTTCAGTAGTTCAGTAAGCAGGAGCAAGTCACATACCCGGTCACAGGTGAGACACTGGACCAAGCTTAGAATGGACCCATCGAAGATATCGGAGATGACACTGCGGTATTTGATCTCAGATTTGCGCTTTCCTCCACTCAAGACATGCGCTGTAAAAATAAAATAATGATTAAGTGAAACAATTTCAACTATAAAATGGAGTGCATAGCCTTTTCAATGTACAATGTTCAACGTGTTGTTTCTATGTGTAGTTTGTAACTACATATGTACAGCTATGCAGCTATATTTGCTCCTTACAGAGGCAGGTTCTTGTTCCACTAATTGTGCTTTACTGCTTTTTCTTACAGAGCAGAGCTAGACCACCCAACTGAAAACAATGCACCCCCTGGGTGGTCAATATCGCTAATGTTGTTAAGAGTACTTTGCATGAAAATAGTCCCCCATCCCCCAAATTAAAAGCTAAAAGAAAAATAAACCATTAGAAGAAATAAGGGGAGAATACTTAGTTCGGGCTCCGGTTTCCAGACCTTTCCTGTAGGTTCCGGTAAAGTCCATGTGCCTCACTAATGTCTCCTGGGAAGCGGAGTATCTAAAATCCTGCTAGAACATGCTCTATGTACTGTGCCATACGGAATTCTTGCTACCCTACCGTGTTTTCCCGAAAATAAGACCTACCTCGAAAATAAGACTTAGTTGTGACCATTCCCAGGGCCGGTGGTGGCATAAGGGGGAACTTGAAGAGCCGCGGGAGAGAATCAGCGGTGCCAACGAAGCCAGCGCTAGAGGAAGCGAGGCAGCAGCGGAGGGAGCAGAGCCGCATAAGCCAATGCCTCCATCTATAGCGCCGACTCCTGTCACCGGCGGAGTGATACCAAATGAACTCCGCCTGTGAGGAATCGATACTGAAAGCACACTTCGCTCATTCTGGCCAGCGATTGGTTACCAAATTGCTCTTGGAAAGGTACGGCGCCCCTGATTGCCCTGATCACCCTATTCTTAACTTTGCCACTCACTCCTGTCTTGTAAGTCTTCTACCGGTATTAATTGTAATAAGTGTGGATATTTGTACATTAAAAAAAATAAGATCTACCCCGAAAATAAGACCTAGTGTGTTTTTTTGAGCCCAAAAGACAGTGCCTTATTTTCGGGGAAACACGGTATCAGTACTCAGCTTTCCCAAAAGGCAGCAGTGAGGCACAGTGATGTCACCAGCACTTACTGTAAGTGGCCAGAAGCTAAAATAAAGACTTTTTCTTTATTCCTTTTAATGGTTTATTTTTTGCTTTAGATGTTACCCATGCAGTAGGAAATAAGAGGGTCTTACATTTTCATGAAATATCCACTTTAAGCAAATATGAGCTATTGCAGTAAAATGATCCTGTCGTGTGTAATCTACAAATCCCTAAATCTAAAAAAATGCTGTCAGATATAAAAGGCAGGCATCTACCTGAAGCATCACCCTAAACCCTTCACTAAATATGTTTTATTCCCAAACATGAATATCACTATTATAGCATGCACTTAAAGTCCAACTCCAGGCAAAGAAAAAAAAAAAACCCTTGCAGTCTACTTGTGCACTGCAAGGGTAAAGTGCACATTTTTTTCTAGGGGACTCAAACAAAGCTGTATTACTTACCTGATCCCGGCTTCTGCGGCAGTCAGCGCTCGCCTCTCTCCTCCGGATATTGGAATGTTCCACGGCGTCTTATGCAGATGAATGGACCTGCATAAGACATAATGACGTCAGCGGTCCTTAGACCACTGCAGTCCAGAGAAGAAGAGGCTGCGTGGACCAGATTTGCAACATGGACATAGATGGCGGGAGTCAAGTAAGCTAAACAGCTTTATTTAAGTCCCCTAGACATAAATGAGCACTTAACTCTTACAGTGCGGGGGTAGCCACACTGCAAGGGTAAGTTTTCTGTTTGCCCGGAATTGGGCTTTAACTGGGGAAAGACTTATTTTATCACCGCCTCAAATTGCCTTCTGATCTCCTCAATATGCGCCTATTGGAACTCACACTAGTGTTATGTTGATGAGTAAAAACCTGTGCAGTCATTTTTTATATTGACTTTCACATTTCTTGTTGCATAATAACTGGTAACATAGGACAGTACTACAATAGCACTTGTAGTGGCAATATTGACACTAATATACTTAAAGAGAAGCTACAATTGTATCATATAACAACTTTACTGTAGCAAAAAAACATTTAATGCAGAGTGAAACCATAACACTTGTGTCACAGGACACTTTATTTTTCTAGATGGTTAGTTGTTTGCCTTCAATCCCTCTGGAACTCTATAGTGCCCATCTAAACAAAGCATACAGGGAGGGGAGGAGTCGATCCGCTGATCCATTCACTTGTGTATGTGAATTTGAGCTTGAGCTATACAGCTTTGTAAACTGCAGATGTTTTCAACAAAACAGCCAAGATTAACCTGGTAAATGTGAAAAAGAGCCTAAAGTTCCACAACTGGCTGGAATTGTAAAAATAAAATAGAGGTTAACAACTGTTGTAGTCATTTCTAGTGACAAAAACTATTTAGACATTAGTTTGAAAAAAGGCATGGTTAATTACAATCTATAGACCCTGTTACCTTTCTTTAAGACATATGAGTGTGCTGATCGCAAGGGGCTGGAACGAGGTGGACTGCTGGAGAGTTTAGGGTGCTTTTCAGCAGGGTGAGGGCTGCAGGGGCGAGAGGAGCAATTCATGTAGGCCTCATTGTCAGGCTCTAGATGGGAAGAAAAAGAAATGCAAAAGTTAAAATTTCCTGCAGTTCCTTTTATGCTGCCCTCATTGACATCTTTTTACTTATATTATTGCTAAACTATATTATATTTAATTACAATGTGGAATTTGTGGTATCCCACCTCACTAGTATAAAGAACTTCTATTAAAATTAATCTGTAGATATAAAGTGCCAGCACCTAGAGGTGTCTGTACACACAACCAGCAACCTACAAAGCCCTGCCGCTATGAGAGGGCAAAGGTTTGTCACTTCCTTAAAGTGCTGAAGCTTGCTTGTCCCTTTCTGCACAGTCCTATTGGCCAGTGGAGCTGTCCATCACAGGGAAAGTTTTGGAGGCTGCTGCAAGTATAAAGTATGGGAAGCTAGAGGTTTTTTTTTTTTTAAACTGGAAAAGTCTCTTTAAGAATTGCCTAAACATGTATGCCTAATAAGCCACATTCATGCATACTAAAGCCCTGTTTCAGTTAGGTCTCACCAGGTATCATTGCTGTGTCCACATCAGCATCTTCATCCGCCTGTTCGGAGCTGGTTCTGCGGTGACAGTATGAAAGACTCCTTTCCTTGAGCTTTTCCTTTTCTGAGATGGACCGCCCCGCTTGTTCCCGGATCAACAGCTCCATCTCAGCCAGAGTACCTTCTCTCCCGTCCCTGTCACCCATTTCCCCTCCAGAGTCACATGTCATGGAGTCATCTTCTGTGATGCCACGTTCCGGCTCCCGCTCCACTTCCCTCTCGTCTTCATCTTGTTCTTGGTTTTCAATGGGTATGGGCTCCTTCAACTCTTCATGTAACTGGTCCATGAGACATCGGAGAAACTCCTGCGTGTCCTGAAATGTCCAAAAAAGCAAGAGGATGAAAGTCATGAGTGTTGCATCTTGCTCTCTATAATGAAAGCTCTACCTCAGGCAAAATATGGGTACTTACCTGCTGTGCGTATCCACGGAACAAGGGGTTAATCAGCTTTATCCCATGGTACATACTTGAGGGCACCACGTAGCTAGGACTGAGTAAGTACAGTTAGTTATAAACGTAAACAAAATATATCATGAACGGTTTTCACTTCCTTTTGCCACTGGATAAATGTAAGGTTGCATTGGCCAGCCCTGCACAAAATTACACCTTTGCTGCTCTGCTTATTAGAGTCAGAGCTCTAATGGACCTCCACCAATCTTCACGTCTTGCTGACCACACATGTTAAGAGTCTGGTGTTGGCTTCACGTGACCTGTGTGAGGAATCCCCTGACTTCTAGACAGGCGGTAGCAGTGAGAAAAAGGGATTGCTGGAGGACCATCATAATGCTGACTCGATAGATAGATAGATAAATAGATAGATAGATAGATAGATAGATAGATAGATAGATAGATAGATAGATAGATAGATAGATAGATAGAGATAGATAGATAGATAGATAGAGATAGATAGATAGATAGATAGATAGGCAGAGTAATATGATACTTCATCTAAAACAAAATTGTTTGGATGTCTTGCTTTATTTTTCCAACGTCTTTGTAGGTGGCAAGCAAGTATATTACAATGCTATTGTATACTTTGCTATAAAGTTCCGCTGGTGCTTCTTGTCAATTACATCTGCATAAAAATGGTATATCAACATGATAATATCTGTTTTCTACAATCTAAACCAGGCCAAACAGTCAAATTGAACCTGCCCATCATAACGTAAGCCACAATCAATGAAAACCCTGTCCCCTTTAGTGCAAATTTCACTTTTAAACAATCTTTTGCTTCAAAGTGTGTGAAGCCTTCTGAAGTGTTTTTGAGAATTCACATAGATATTTCTGTCCATTACTGTCTGTCTGTGCTTGTCCCTCCTTCCTCGTCTACCTAGTTTTCAGTTTGCAACCACACATATTTATACAGTTACAGAACTTCCCGGTGAGTCCTTAAGTCCAACTCCATCCAAAACGTTTTATTGTATTCTGGATAGACCAGTGAAGTGTTAGAGCCTTTATCAAGTGGTGAGTGAGAAAGGGTAGCATTTTTTTACAATATTTTAATTGCGGTCTGTGCCTTTCTGTCCTGGTGACAGTCACACCTCTGACTTCTTGTACAATGGGGAGTCACAGACTGACATAAAAACCTGAAATAAATTGGAACTACTTCTCCCTACAATATGCAAAACTGAAAACAAAAAGTCACCTGGAGTCAGGCTTTAATATCCTTATAAGTTATAGCGAGGGATAGCAAGCCTATTAAAGAATAACTCATTAAAAATGTAATGGGCGGAAGGAGATCTTTACATTGTATATAATTAAAAATGGCCATAGACAAGCAGGGAGATATTTGCACCACTCCTGGAGTGAATTATGGAACCCACTCCTGGATCATTCATTATTCCCTATAGAAGAGAGAAGGATCGTAACCCACTACCAAGGAGGGGTTTCCATATGCTGTGTGATAACTATCATCTCTGACTGTATATGGTGCTTGTCATCACCCTCTAACAGTGAAGAAATACACGGATAATCCCAAGGGATGTTGAAAAAAAGGAGCATAACCTGCTTTCATTGAGGTATGGGAGCATGCCTTTGCTGACTAGTGCTTGAAGGTGCAAACTCCGCAGCTGTCATCCTTATTCTTCTGATCCTTGATTGCTTATTTGGCTAGCTACTAACCCAGCGCAAATAAGAAGCACATACAGTGTTTGGACACCTGACTTGCACATGGGGTTAAAGGTTAGTGACTCACCAAAAAACTCAAGTCAGAAGCATCCATGTTTCTATGCGGACAGGTCCTCTTTAAGGTCAACAGTAAGCTAAATGAATATTCTGTTAGCACCGACTAGGCACCGACTGCCTCCAGCACATCAGTTTTGATTTTCAGTAGAGCGATTAGGAACCTCAGAAAGTTCTTAGGTCTCAGATTCCTCAGAAGGTTCTCTGATATCCAAATAATGACCATCTCTTAAAGATTCCACCTGTGGCCACCCCCTCTCAGATTTCACTATTAGCTTATCACTGGTATGGGTGGTCTCACTAAATAATAAGGGGAGCACAGGCCAGCCATTGAAAAATGTTTGTGAATTTATAGGAGAAGAGAGCACCAAACTATTTCTCAGTCTAGAAAAAGTAAATGGAAATCTTGGAAATATGGGAGGAGGACCATGCAAGCAGTAACCGAAGCAGTCTGTGTATTTCTCCTATACTATATTTCCATTAATTCAACTTCATGTCCAGATTTTCCTTAAGCCCTTATAAAGGGGGTGCCTCTAACCTTTGAACCACATTAGCTTTTTTAAATGAGTTTGTGACCAATAAAACTTTTTCTAGACAGAAAAAAATAGTTTGGTGCTGTCACTTTTATAAGCTCCAAGACTTTACTCCAAATACCTAGCAATGGCCATAGCAAACTAGAGAGCTGCCTGTAGGAAGCTTCTACACCAAATTGATATACCTACCCAAACCAAAGTCTAGAGCTCCACCGCCTTGTTTTTCTATCAAGCCATGGAAAATGACATTTACCTAGAAGTATGTTGACCTTTAGCAAAAATCTTTTTTTCATCCATGTTAAAGAAAGCATTGCATCTCAATCTGTACCTGATAATCCAGCAAAGTTATTAGTACTAGTTTCTGAATTCGCAAAAACTCTCAAAAACCCGTCAATCAATTACACCGGCTTAGACAACCGATCAGTAAGTCAGATTTGGCCTACAGGAACTGAGAATTGCCCTTACCGCTTCTTGTGCCAAAGTTCAGAGATCAGTTTCTGGTAACTCTTGCAAAGTGCTGGCTTCTTGTCTGTCCGCACCATCCCACTACATTCTAGAAAGAATTGAGTCAGTGGAGGACTGCAAAGACAAAGATTTGCAAGATTAAAATGTGCCAGTCTGTCAAGCAGGCAGCTCCATTTAAAACAACTAGAGACAACCTCAAAAGTTAGGCACCAGCTGTAATTTCTAAGAATAAATTGGCTACCTGACTCCTGGAATTTGCCCAGTCCTGGGCTAAACAAACAATAAGAAAAAGTATTCAGGCTTTCACCTATGCACTGCTTGTATCTTAAAACTGCTGTGTGCTGCACTGTGCATGACCACACTCATGACCAGATGGATTTTGATGTGAGAGGTCAACAAAATGTATAAGCAGCTATGTACCCGCCCCCTCCCCCGTCTGTTCCGCCAGTCAGCGCTGGAGGATCGGAGCGGGGAGGGGGGAATCCAGTCCCTCCCCTGTCACGGCAGAGAGCTGTGACAGGATCGAGAAGTGAGCGAACGCCAGTATGTGTTCGCTCACTTCCCGATCTACTGAGCCCACCTGTGACAGTTTTATTGTCACAGGTCGGCTAGAACTATGAGGATGAGTGAAAAGCACTCACCTCATAGTTCTCCTTTAAAACATGAAATGCAGGAGGAGCCAGAAGTAATGTCTGTTCATTTTCTACACCAGTGTGACCACAGATATCTACTGAAAGCCAGTAACTTACCAGTTGGAGAGAGCTTGTAGGGCTGCATTCATATAACACGAATTTCCTATATTCTTCATCCCGGTCAGGCCTGGAATGAAGTAGAAAGGGCTGAGATAGGATTACACATTCACTAACTGTTACTGTTTTCCAGCTTTCTTCCAATAGGATTCATGGTGAGCACATTTCTATTGGTCAGTGAGGCTGACTATCACAGTGATGAGCTAATAGGAATGCGTAGAAGCCAGGAGAGAGGGAGAAAAGGACATTACCGATTCACATTATTATTTTAAGTTGAAAAACTTTTTTTTGTCATGAATAAAACAAATTTAGTGAACCAAACTAACTTGCGCTAACGGAAATAGTAAAACTAAATTAAGATGGATTAAAATTTAAAATAGATATTAATATGACCCCGGAGCTAAAATTTCTAAAACCAAAAAGGAAAAAAGCTGCTGAACTCAGGCTAAAAGCCTACAGAATAATGGTGTAATGAAGTGTACAGCGCTAAATGCCCTTCAGGAAATTAGATAACGGTAGGGATCATATGGTGTCACCTCCGTGTCAAGCAATCGTGAAACAGTGTATATATATAATAAATATTTGTGTAAAAACTTATAGTACGTTATAAAATGTGTCAGCAGGTGTCATAAAAGGCGTGTCATACATGAACCTTATTAAATAAATAAACAAAAATCTTCAAAGAACATGTGTCATATATGTGAAAAAAATATTATTGTGAAAACAATATTAAATAAATAAATAAACATGTGTCATATATGTGAAAAATAAATATATCACAATATAAAACAGTCTGTGTTGTTTTCTTTTGAAAATAAGTAGAAGTATGCACTTATAATATAAAAAATGCACCCAAAGTTCTTAAAGCTCTCCGATCTTCAAAACAAAAAAAAAAAAGGTCGTCCCTTGAGAACTTCCATGTGACGAAACGCGTCGGGAGCGGGCCTACCTTTACGTCATTGTTCCAGTCCTTTTTGCACTCAGATTGAGTGACTAGCCGGCTTTCCACATTGATTTTTATGGAATTTTTATAGAGCGCTTGTTTGTCTGTATTTATTATTTTGGACCCATTAAAGTTGAACTTACTACGCTATGAGCGCATTTCTTGTGTTCTTTGTCCGGATGGATACCCAATAGAGGAGACCTAACAACAAAGATTGTAATCCCTTCACCTCGGAGAAGCAAGCGGGTTCTGTAGCCTGAGGCTTTCACCAAACGGGAGAAGAGGACATACATCTTCGGCCTCCATTGGATAAGAATAAAGGCTTTCGACCATCAGGGATCTGGTGAGTGCATTCCCTATAGGGGACCTGCCTTCCTTTTTTTTTTTCTATCGTTTTTTCGTTGGACACTTCATAATATTGGACATTTCTTTTGATTTTGATTCTCATTCTTCTGGGTTTTTTTTGTTTTGAAGATCGGAGAGCTTTAAGAACTTTGGGTGCATTTTTTATATTATAAGTGCATACTTCTACTTATTTTCAAAAGAAAACAACACAGACTGTTTTAGATTGTGATATATTTATTTTTCACATATATGACACGTTTATTTATTTATTTAATATTGTTTTCACAATAATATTTTTTTTAAATATATGACACATGTTCTTTGAAGATTTTTGTTTATTTATTTAATAAGGTTCATGTATGACACGCCTTTTATGACACCTGCTGACACATTTTATAACGTACTATAAGTTTTTACACAAATATTTATTATATATATACACTGTTTCACGATTGCTTGACACGGAGGTGACACCATATGATCCCTACCGTTATCTAATTTCCTGAAGGGCATTTAGCGCTGTACACTTCATTACACCAATAAAACAAATTTGTTTCTGTATATTTTGTATATTTGTTTTGCATGTTATGGCCAAGACAAAAAAGATTATAAAAATGTTTTTCTTTTATGTATATATGAAATACTGCTTATGGATATTTCCTATTCTCACTTTTAGCTAGTAGGTGGAGCTCTGGGCTTCTTTTCAGGTTTTCCATTCTATCCTTATTTGTCTGCTTAGTTGAAAAAAGCACTCAAGCTGAACTTAACACACACCTACAAGGAAGCCCACCCTTGCTGGAGGCTGTTGCTGTTTTTCTTTAAAAGCTGTTAGTTCCTCGTTTTCTAGTGGGTCCCCGTGAGGGAGCGCTGTCATATCGGATGGCCAGCGCCCAGCGGTGAGGGGGAGAGAAGCCGCCCCCAGGACGAGCTGTGTCGGCCGCACGGCGCCCTTGTTGCTATGGCGCCCTGTGCGGCCGCACTGCTCGCACACCCCTAAGGCCGGCCCTGCGCGCGTGCCACTATCGTTCTAATGGAGGCACTCGTGAGCGCAGTGGCTGTGTGTGTCCATAGACCACAGGCCACGCCCCTTCTCACTTTGATTGATGGCAGAAGGAGCCTATGGCTCCTCTGCCATCAGTATCCTCCCCCCCGGAAGTTCTCGCAACGGAGGATCACTTTGGGAGCGGGTGGCGGGGACGAGCGTAGCTGACAGGTAAGTGTGGGGAGGACTGGGGGAGAAAAAAAGGTGCTGGGCCGTTTTTATCCTAATGCAGAGATTGCATTAAAGGTAAAAAACGGCCAGACCTTACTACTGCTTTAACCTCTCCTCCGCTTCCCTTCAGACAAGTCCATAAAAAAACATTTTAAATCAGAGACAGAGTCTGAATGCCAGCAGCTTCTTCTGTGCGCTCATTCATAATGCTTTGTAGATTCTAAATACAACTCACCCAAACCCATTTTAGTTTACATTTCTAGTTATGTGATTGCTGATATACAATTACCTCTGGGCTTTAAGTCATCCTCATCGCTCTCTGACTCGCCATAATCTGCCACTGCGATCGGCACAGATTTTAGTGAGTGAGTGGTAGATGGCACATCCTGGAGACAGACAATTCAAAATTATTTGTCTGCAGCCTAGACACCATACCAGCAACATTATCATATGAACAATAGTAGACTTGAAAGGTAAACAAATATAAGCCAGCTATGAATACACCTAGGATGATATAAAAAGGAGCCAATACCTACAACTTGTAACCGGATTTTAACTGCAAGTCTAGATTACAAAACTAAAGTTAGAGTGTAACTACACTTTTGTTGAGAAAAAAAAAATCAATCCCCTCTGAGTTATCACTGTGCATTGTAAGGATTTTAACAAACTTTGTAGCAGATTCTACCTTTCTCTATTCTGAAGAAGGAGCTGTTTGTATCCCTATGCCTTTTCCAGACTAATTCCTGAAATCTCAGTGTTGTAATGAGGAAAGGTGTAGTGTCTGCATCTCTTTAGTAGTAAATGACCTTTAGGGCCAGTTCACACCATATGCAGTTGTGATGCAGTCTGTTTATTTGAGTGCTGCATCACAATGCTTTCCTATGGGCTTTCTTGTGCTTTATTCACACCATTGCAGTGTGACTAAAGCACAAGAAAGACCTTAGGAAAGCATTGTGATGTATTTTGACTGCAGCAGTCAAATAAACGGACTGCGTCACAACTGCATATGGTGTGAACTGGCCCTTAGGCAGTATCTCACCAAAAATTATATTCCTATTGCACGGGGTGCCTAAACATTTACTTGTATCTTAGTGCAAATGTCTGGGAAAATCAGTCAGCCAATCACACAAACAGGATGTGACAATTCTGTCACTTTAGTTTTTTTTTTTTTTATACCAACTGTGTGCAGAATGCCTCCGAGTTGCCACTGAGTTTTTTGCAGTTTTAGAAAATGACAGCGACTTCAGATTGAAATGTAAAGGTAATTGTTAATTACCTTGTGTAGAAATGATATAGGTTATATTCTGTGCTATATTGAAAGTGTAGTTTCCCTTTTAATATGTTCCTGGCAGAGGAGACAGCTAGAAATCTGGAAAGATTTTTTTTTGTCATTAATGGCCGACTACAAGTACCACAAGATTTTACACTTTACATTTACACATCAGACCCTAAGAGTCTGTGCCCATTACATTATGCTGACTGATAGAACAGCTTATGCACATCCAAAGCCAGGAAAGCTTATTTTGCATCAAGGGATCTGAGATTTTTTATTCTAGTTTAGGAAAAAACACAGGAGCTTCAAGTCAAATTTGTGCAATACTACCTGGAAACATCACAGGCGGCAGAATACTTTTTTCACAAAAAAAATATTTATGAATGTAGGATTTATGCATCCATATTTATTCAAATTATAACAGGATCATAGCGTGTTTATTTTATATACAATGATAGGCAGAAGTCACCTTCAGCTGGCCACAATCTGATTGCTGGATATAAACTGGTTACATTCTGATTGCACATTCATCTTTAAAATGATAACCTCTGTTATGTCAGGGACTGCCTGATGGATATAAATTAAATACACAACTTTGGCAGGCCCTTGCACTACATAGTGTTTCATAAATGGAGACTGTACAGAGATTTTACAATCAGGCTGTAACACGTGTGGCAAGCTTCTGAATGATAGACTAAAGATGATATTATGAAAGGTCTCTCCGTAATGACCCATAGAGGTATACTTGTATATGACACAAACATAATCATCTACAAAACAGACAGCCGATTGCTGGCCTGAACATCATACCCTGTGGCTAAGCCTTGGTGACGTAGAGTGGGAGTGGGTAGGTGAGGGTGCTCCGGAGTCCATGAACACTTCTTTCTCACAAGAATAGCACCAGACACGAAATGTGGTCAGGTTCACGATGAGATTGTGCTTCTTAGCCTGAAAGAACCAGACAACACCAGTGACGAGTCCAATGCAATTTCTCTACTACAGTGACATAAAGTACACCGATCACATTGCCCATTCTAAACAAAGTGAAAGAGTCCCTTAACAGCCCTTTCTAAGTTCCACTTATGCCCCCCATCCCTGCAAATGCCTGCCAGACCTCTGTAGAGTAACTAGTACTTCCAGGTATGGGGAGAATTTTGCCATCTCCCATTCCTCTCAAAACCCCATGTCTGAATGGCAAATTGCCAGGCCTCAACTTATTAGCCCTATGTGTAAGCCTTGACACAGATGCCCAGGGAGTTTACATAGGGCTTCCAACTCAGGGCATTGGCAGGTGAACAGAATGACAGGGGGAGAAAACAGGAAAGTAACAGGTTCACTTTAACACAAAGGCACAAGGCAAAACGCAGAGGTCAGCAGACTTTGCCAGCTAAGCTTTAACTATAACACATTATGGAGTATTACCTGAAAGCATACCTTGTCTTTAAAAGCTAGCAAAACTAATCTAGGTGCGGGATGCATGTAACCACTTCTTGAAACACTGCTGCAGTCCCAGAAGCACAGAATTCAGTCTCCAAAATCCTGACTTTTCAAAAATATGGAGCTTTGAAACCTGCAATGTTGATATCTAACAAACTAAATCACTAGCAAAGTGTAGGCAAGTACCTCTGCTTGCCTAACGATCAGTTCCTTTGTTCCCAAACAGGCCCCTGGACCTGGAATCAAGCTGCATACAGGGCATTGATTTAAAGGAGAACTATGGGGTTAAGGCTTTTCCCATAGTTCTCCTTAGGGTAACGGGAGGACACAAACTAGCGTCCTCCCGTCACCCTAGGCTCAGTATACCGCGAGCTATAGCTCGCGGTATACTGAGACGCCGCATACTGAGACCGCATACTGAGACGGTATACTGAGACGCCGCAGCTGAAGCGGATCCCGACAATTGTGCCGGGATCCGCCCAGCTGCGTGAGTGACAGCTGGCTCTGCCTTTCTAGAGGCAGAGCCAGCTGTACCCGCCCCCTCCCCTGTCCGTTCCGCCAGTCAGTGCTGGAGGAGCGGAGCGGGTAGGGGGGAATCCAGCCCCTCCCCTGTCACGGCAGAGAGCGGTGACAGGATCGAGAGGTGAGCGAACGCCGGTATGTGTTCGCTCACTTCCCGATCTACTGAGCCGACCTGTGACAGTCTCATTGTCACAGGTCGGCTAGAACTATGAGGTGAGTGAAAAGCACTCACCTCATAGTTCTCCTTTAAAGTGGAACTTCATTGAAATGCCCGCCCGAGAAATACGGGGACAGCAGGTACTGACCTCTTTCTAAAAACATTAGTTGCCTGGCTGTTAACCTCAGCAGTAGTTTCAATGCTTTCTAACCTGACTGTTTAAGTCACTGATCCAGAAGAAGATCAGGAAAGCCAGAACTCCTCAACTTCAAAAGTGTTCCAGGTCAGTGACAAAAACTTCAGCATGGCAACCATGGTAGTAGTAATTTTGGTAGGAGCAAGGAATAACAGCCTTCATATTTCTCTCACGACATGTTTCCCTTAGGCAGCTGAGAACCTAAGAAGGCTCAGAAGTCACTGGCTGGCTGGACGTACAGTGTACGTCTCCCGTCACAAAGGGGTTAACAGTCCCCTGGTGCCCAACCTACTTACTGCGCTTTGGTGCTATCTCAAGGCAGTGATATTTTTAAGGGGGCTGTAGGGAGCCCAAATATAGAAGTACTGCCTTGTAAAGGGGCTGTAATAGCAGTGATCTCTAGCAGTCTCCTTAAACCTTTCAACTGTCTTTGACTGTCTCCTGAAGCATACCCCCAGTCTCTAACATATCCTGTAGCATGTGTGCTGTCTGCCACAATCTCCTGCAGAATGTCTGCAGCGGCTGCCCATCTCTTGTAGAATGCCTGTGGTCTCTGACAGCTTTCTGTAGTATTACATTTACTGAATATTATGTGTGGCCCTTTGGTGATGTCAGGAGACACACTATTTCCGTTAGGTTGACCACCACTGGTCTTAACGATTCACCCACCTGGGCGTGCAATGTACTGTGATCAGCATAGGACTCTCCACAACCCACATATTGGCAGCCATCCTAAAACATAAAGCAGATGTCAAACATATCCTTCACTGTCACATTGTAAAGTATTGCGCCATTCCCTTCTTAGGCCGCTCACCTGCAAACATGCCCAGAGATTGGGTCCACCAGCTCCACATGATTCACATGTTCCCTTTAGAAATAGACACACAGCTCGTTAAAAAATTACAGACCAGTTCATTTACAATTCAACCTTGGAACCAACCAACATGGAGTTCATCAGAGTTCATGTCGACGTGCATTCTTGTCAAACACAAGTGCATGCATTTGAATAGTAAACACAGCGTTTAACCTGCTTTGCATGCAGTTCAAACACACCTCACTAGGACATACTATGTCCAAAGAAATGCAGTAACTGCAACACAAAGAAGATTAAAGGAGAACTATGGGGTCAGTGCTTTTCCCCATATTCTCCTCAGGGTAACGGGAGGACACAAACTAGCGTCGTCCCGTGACCCAAAGCTCAGTATACAGCGAGCTGTATACTGATACCGCCGAAGCCGGGACGGATCCCGGCATTGATGTCGAGATCCACCCAGCTGCGTTTTTTTTTTTAAACTGTCAGCTTTGTGCCGTTGAAACTGTAAAACCGAAGGGATATGAAGGTCTCTGTTTTCCAATGATCTTCATTAGCAGCGAGAGACTAATCAAAATCCTGCGGAGACGTGCAGCTTGGAAGGACTTTGAAGCCTGCAAAATCCCTGAATTTGTATTGCTATGAAGGCTGAATAGGGAGACAGTGTGGTGAGTGCACAGCCTTGTGATCAGTGGAGTCTCTTGTTTTCTATGAAGGTTGTTCTCTGGCTTGTTGCAATTTCACTTGGATACATCTCTCACTACAACTTTTTTGTTATTTCTTATCTATATTTCCCCCTTGAATTTTTCCACTTGCTTTTAAGATTATACCACCAGAATTCACAATATTGGATGTTTATATATATATATATAATTTTTTTTCTGATGAGCTCATTATCTGAATTGAAGTTTAAACTGAATGTCACGTTTTTGGTTTATATAGGTGACACAGAATCATTATTATAGTGTATGCCTCACAGTTATATCACATCAGTGAGGTTATAGAGTGCTGTTTTATTTCACATCTTATGAGGTTTTGTCCAGTGTTCTTTACCACTGATATCAGTCAAGTCACATTTGAGTTTGTTCGATTGTGTATAAATTTCACTTGATTTTATATTTTAAATTTAATTTTTTACTTTACATTCATTAGATTTCACGTTATTGGACGTTACAACGTTTTGACTAGTCCAGTACATGATACATAATTATCACACAGTTTACTTGTCACAGGTTTATCACATTGGGGAGGATATCTAGCGCTGTTTACTCATCCTACATTAGTTACTTCATAACTGTTCACCTCAACACTACGGATTACTGCTTAAAGTGGACCTTTACCCCCGGCTAAAAATCACATCAGCATACAGCTCTGCACGCTGATATGAAATCATCTTGCATTCATGAGCTAAACAAACATATTTTTATTTTACGTACAATTTTTTTTTTGCACTTCCTGTTCAACTTTGGCATAAATGGTGTAATCATGCCCAAGCATTGCATCCTGGGAAGGTTACATCAGCAGAGCATTGCTAAGAAATCTCATCTGTAATCTCCCAAGATCTCAGGGAAAGGCATTTTCCTCCCCTGAGATAATGTGAATGGTCACATGTCCTAGCGTTCCAGGAAGTAAAGAGAGATTTATTAACCTGCCCTTAGTTAAAATGGCCACTGTCAGGACACTGGGGAGGAAAAGAAAAATAAGGCATGCAAAAAATACAAAGCCAGCAATTTTCTACAGTAGAAGTATCTGTAGATTGTCATTATTAAACATTTCTAATAGTGATGCACCGATACCATTTTTTCAAGACCAAGCACGAGTACCATTTTTTATCCTCAAGTACTTGCCGATACTATTTAGCGATACCTTTTTTTGTGTGTCATGTGACAGCTTTTCTAAAACAATACAGACTAATGATTTTAGGACAGTGGTGGAGCACCAGGGCCCAGACGCAACTGCAACCACTGCGACCCTGGTAGTTCTGCCACTGACTCCAAGCTGTAAACACTGGCTGGTGCGTGTTTTATCAGGGCTGAGTCTAAGGTCTCACAAGGGCTGCGTGTGGATCAGTGAAGGTCTCACCAGGGCCGCGCGGATGGTTGAGGGTCTCACCATGGCTGTGTGCGGCAGGAAGGGGGAGGAGATGTGCAGCCGGACTGGTGCTGTAAACAGCCATGGTGAGACGTTATCGGCACTTAGCATCAGGGCATTTTCACGAGCATTCGTTTAAATGCTCAGTATCGGCACCGATATCAATATCGGTATCCATGAATCCCTTATTTCTAAAGGTGCCCTTGTTGTTATTTTGAAGATATGGGTAAAGTTCATCTTTAAGGTTCTCAGACTGGTTGCATTGGTAGTGCAAGACAGGCTGTACTCACCCTGGATTTTAAGATCAAGTCCTCCTTGGTGACTTCTCCAATAGAATCCAGATGAGGGCAAAAGTCTACCATCTCTCCCATTTTGAAGGATCTATGAAGAAAAGATCAGGAGTCCTAACCAGGGCCCAGATAGGCATATAAGCAGGCAAAGCGGTTGAACTACCTGAGAAAATAGAAAATGTACAAATATATTTACACAATGCTTTACATATTATTATTATTATATAGGATTTATATACCGCCAACAGTTTGTGCAGCGCTGTACAATATAAGGAAGACATTACAATCACAATACAATTCAAGACAAGATAGTAAGGAGGGCCCTGCCCTGAGGGCTTACAATCTAAAAGGGAGGGGCAAGTTATACATGAGGAGGTAGCTGTGTGGGGATGAATTGTTTGAGAGAGGGATTGTTCAGTGGTTAGGTTGAGGTGGGATAGGCTTCCCTGAAGAGATGAGTCTTAAGGGATCGCCTAAAGGCAGTCAGTGTGGGAGATAGGCGGACAGGTTGGGATAGAGCGTTCCATAGGATGGGAGAGACTCTAGTGAAGTCCTGGAGGCGAACATGGGAGGATTTGACAAGGGAGCTGGAAAGCAGGAGGTCTTGGGATGAGCGGAGCCGACTGTTAGGGTGATACACATTATGGTACATTCACATCAGTCCCTGCCCTCAAGGAGCCTACAATCTAAGAACCCTATCTCCCATACATACACATACTAGGGCCAATTTAGAGAGGAGCCAGCTAATCTACCAGCACACTTGCACTGAAAGGCTGACCCTCATATTCGAAATCAGAGAAAGGATACGATAAAACAAATAGTATTTTGTTTAAAACATAGAAAGGTAGGAATGTGCACAAAAATAAGGGGTCAACAGTTAGTGGCTCCAATAAATGTTAGGGTTGAGCAAGGTTAAAGTATAAATTTTAATCTGTTAAAACTTGCAGCGTTCATTAAAATAGTAACCCTACATTCTCTTTGCAAACCTCTAAAAAAAGTTAGGAAGAGGGTTTGAAAACGTAGGGGTAGGGGTGACCGCAGCAAAGCTTCCCTGTATCCCCTACCTATAATCTCTGAACCCTTTTGTAGGATTGCCGTAGACCTGATTGCACCGCTACCCTGACCCAATCCTTCTGAAAAGAGGTTTAGCTTGACGGCAGTGGACTATGCCACCCGTTACCTGGAGGCGATCCCCCTGACAAACATCAATGCGGAGACAGTGGCAGATGCGCTGCTCCGGATCTTTGTCGGGGTGGGCTTCCCTCGGGAGATAATCTCGGACCAGGAGGCTCAGTTCACCCCTAACCTGACCCAGCAACTATGAAAGCTCTGCGGGATAAAGCCCCTGTAGGGTTCTCCCTACCACCCCGAGACAAACGGACTGTGTGAGAGGTTCAATGGAACGCTGAAGCAGCTACTTTGGACATTTGCAACCGCTCACAAAAATTGGGAGAAGTTCCTGCCTCACCTCCTGTTTGCTTACTGGGAGATGCCGCAGGAATCTATGGGATTCTCCCCCTTTTAACTATTGTACAGGAGACAGGTGAGGGGCCCCCTAGATTTACTTAGGACCCACTGGGAAGGCGGGGAGGAGGGTGAGGATACCTCAGTTGTAGGGTACATGCTAGCCTTAGGGGACCAGCTGAAAGAACTCACAGACTCGTCTGGGAGAATCTTCAGCAGGCGCAGGGATGGCAGAAGCGGTGGTACGATCATACCACCCAGAACCATGCCCTGGTTGTGGGGCAGGAGGTTCCTGCCCATAAGCCGATCATAGCAGGCAAGTTACAGACCGTTTGGCAGGAGCAATACAAGGTCATGCAGCAGCTCTGCGACACCACCTACCTGGTAGCTAAATGTTCGGATGAAAGAGTCCAGAGGACCTTCCATGTGAACATGCTCAAAGTGTAGCAGGAGAGGGCTGAAGAGGTAACCACTATATGTGCTCTAGCCATGGAGGACTCCGAGAGTCTTCCCCTGCCAGAGCTTCCAGAGCAGGCTAGGGACAGGGTATGCATAGAGGCAGTCAGGATGGATGAGCAGTTAGGGACTTTGCAGAAGGAGCAGGTCTGGAGGGATCTTAGACAGCGATAGGAATGTTCTCCACCATCCCTGGGTACACTGAAGTGTAAGGCAGCCGGCTTATTAGGTACCCGAGGCAGTCAGAGAAGGGATGAGACTGGAGATTAGGGAGATGCTCAATCTCCGAGTCATCGAGCAGTCCAATAGCCCCTGGGTGTCCCCCGTAGTGTTAGTACCGAAGCTGGATGATACGACTCATTTCTGTGCCGATTAAAGGAGACTCAATTACAGTACCACAACTGATGCTTACACTCTAGTTGATGAGCTGTTGGACCGCATCGCTCGGGGTAATTTCCTGACTACCCTTGACTTATGCAAAGGGTACTGGTAGATTCCTCTGGACACAATCTATTCCGAAGTCTGTGTTCATCACTCCGTTTGGCCTGTACCAATGAAAGGTCATGCCGTACGGGATGGAGAACTCTCCGAGGACGTTCCAGAGGATAGTAGATCGGCTCCTGGATGGCCTCCAGGACTATGCCTGTGCATACCTGGATGACATCGCGATCTACAGCGATACCTGTGAGGAACATTTGCTCCACCTGTTTACCGTGTTAGACTGCATTAGGGCTGCGGGGCTAACTTTGAAACTGGATAATTGTAGCATAGGGATGTCCAAGATGCCTTACCTTGGGCATCAGGTAGGTCGTGGGCAACAGCGACCTGAGCCTGCTAAGGTAGAAACGGTTGC